GGGAGGGGCAGGCCAAGCAGTTGCCCATTCACGCACACAATGAGGGCGATGCTCCGACAGACACTCTGCCCCTTGCGCGTCGGGTGCGGCAGGGACACCCGGAGCCAGCCGAGCAGCAGATGCGCCGCAGGGGCCGGCATCGGGCGGTCACCCGGGCGATGAAGGGCCTCGGAGGAGTCTTCCGCCGCAGGGATGTCCCCCGGCGCAGACGCTGCCAGCAGACTTGGTCGCCAGCTGGAAAGCAGCGCAGCCACCGAGCCCGAGGGCGCATCCATTGGCGAAGCGCCAGTTCGCTGGCGAAGTACCTCTCGCAATCGGGCACGCAGCCATCCAGGGAAGGGAGCCGTGGCACGAGTGGCTGCCGTAACACATAGCTACAAGCGCGTGCATGCGTGGTATGCATGGTGTGTATGTGTGTGTGTGTGTGTGTGTGTGTGTGTGTGTGTGTGTGGTGTGCGAGCGCGTAATGTGCGAGCGCGTGCGAGTGCGCGTTTTCCCCGCAAGGAGGAAGAATAGAAGGCGGCCATGTTGTGGCCATATGCATGATCAGTAAGCTCACGAAAAGCGAAGGTCAAAGGGGCAAGCAGGCAGGAAGAAGATGCACGCACCTGCACCTCGTCGCCAGGGTCCAAAGACAGGTGCTCCAGCCGGGAGGAAAATAAGCGCGAGTGAATCGACACCTGGAAGCACTCGGCCAGGGCGGGAAGGATGTCGGCATGCACACGAGCGCGAACAGCTCGTCGAGAGGTGTTTGCCACCGAGAACCAGGTCGTGGCGGTCGTGGCCGAGGGGCCCGGCAGATCGCTGCCGCCTGCCGGGGCAGCCGTCGCGGCATTGGCCATGCCGGCCATCACCGGCGTGTCAGAGGTGGCGGCTGGGCCATCGAAGAGCGGCGGCACGGACAGCGCCCCCTCAAGCAGCAGGGCCGCCGGGGTGCCGGTCATGCCGGCCGGCAGCCCGGGCAGCAGGTCCACCGTGCCCGCCGAGACCGGCCCCTCGGGCAGCGGGTGGGTGCCGTCCGGTCGACACCCGACAAAGGCCGGATCCTGCAGGTACGCCGTCGGCAAGCAGGGCCACCCGCCGGGCAGCTGGTCCAGGGGCGAGGTCCGGCGAATGTCCAACTCGAAGGCATCCAGACGGAAGTGCACCGCCACGGACAGCAAATTGTCCGGATTGTGGCGGTTGCTCAGGGCGATTTGCGCACACTCGAGTGGCGGGGCGCCGGCTTGGGCGCTCTTTCGGGTGGGGTCGGTTGTTTTTTGTTTGTTTGTTGGGGGTTTTTTTTTCCCCCAGTCCCACACCAGGCATGTTAGTGGCCGAGGCGGTGCGCGGGGAGGCAAGAAGAAAACCAGGCAGGGGGGGGGGGGGAAGGCGGGCACAAGGACGCACCTTCAGCAGGTAAGCCGTTTGCAGGGCCCCGGCAAAGTGTGCCACCCCCATCGGGGGGATGGCCACAGCCAGGGCGGCTGTTCGGCCGGCCGGGCGCGGATCGGCCACGGCCTGCCCGACGGACTCGGCGGCCTGGAGAGCCGGCGCGGTGGCCGGACCGCTGCCGAGGGCCACCGAAAAGAGGGCCGAGTCAAATTGCAACAGCCCTTCAAAGGTGATGGGCGATTGGTTTTGCACCACAAAGGCAAAGGGCACCGGGCCGAAGTCCGTGCTGTGGCCGACCGCCCCGAGGTTCAACTGGCCACCCACCGGGGCCAGGAGCTCGGCCCGTGAGAGACTGAATACCAGGGGTGTTAGGGTTTACGGGCGGGCGGGCGGGCGCGCGGGCGGGCGAGCAACCGAAAGTGGCCGAGATCGGCGAGCAGGGAAGGATGTTGGCCGAGTGGACGCACACGAAGGTGGTTCGGATGGGGATGGCCACGGCCGAGCGGCGAGCATACGGTCGCCCGGGGCCCATGCCTGGCGATGATTCCACGCCTGGGGCCTCTTCCTCCGGCTCGAGGATATCAATCAGGATGTGACCCTCGGAGGAGAGTGTCTGTTCGGATGGCGGCGTGTGCGTGTGCGTGTGCGTGTGCGTGTGCGTGTGCGTGTGAGTGTGCGTGGTGGCCACAAAGGAGGAGCCGGGGAATGGCAGCATCCGCAGGCGTCTGCGGCTGGCTCAGAGCAAGGGAGAAGCGCACCTCGGCCACAGGCCCAGCGGCCAGGGCGGCTGACAGGGCCGGCTCCACCACCAAGCCGCTGAGGTAGTGCGGCCCAGGCCCGGCATCCGCAGGCAGCAGGCCGTCGGCCACCGGGGCCCCGGCCAGCAGGTCAAACTCCGACCCGCATGGCAGGGCTGGCAGCCGGTCGCCATATACCAGGGTAGGCTGGCGAAGCTCCTGCAGATGGGCCTCGGTGACCGTGGGCCGGGACACATTCGGCGTGGCCAGTGCCAGGGGCCGTGCCGCCAGCAGGACATTGGTCTTGGGCGAGGCCAGAACCGGGCCCGGGCCCGGGCCCAAGGCCACGCGGCGGCGGTCTTGGAAGAGAACACCCAGGCGCATGGTGGTGTACTGTGCCTGCGGGGCCAGCGGCATGTCCTCCAGCGGCTGCATGACGGCCTGGCCGGCGGCCAGCCAATTGACCAGCCGGTCGGCTGGACCTGGCCCACCAGCCCCCAAGTCGAAGCGATGCACCGGCGACAGGAAGGCTCGGCCAAGGCCGGCCGAGTGGAAGATGTAGGATGTCAACTCGATGCGTGCCGCCTGAATGGGCGTCAAGACCACCGGGTCGCTGCAGGGGCCGGGGGAATCATTTGGCCAAGGGGCGGGGGTGGGGTCAGCAAGCACCGCAAGATGTCGAGCACCAGGGCAGACAGGTGGACGGGGGGGGGGGGAGAGGGGCGTGCAGGACGAAGAAATGGAGGCGCCAAAAGAGGAGAGACAAGCAACAGGGCAAGGGGATCGTGGAAAGGGGAGACAGCAGCGCGACACACCTGCCCAGCTGGACAATGGGCCACCGGCACCGAGCTGCCTCCGCGGGCGGGACTTCGCCCGGGCTGCGGAGGAGCCCCATCCGGAGATCGCCACCGGCCACAAAGGCCGACACCGGGACCACCACCGGCTCGAAGCCAATCAAGCCGCCAGTTTGCAGAGACTCGATGACCACATGTGCCCGGTGGAGGCCAGGCTCGCGGAGGTTCATGGCGAAGCGCACCACGAGCCCGGGGGCGGATTCCCCGCCGGAGTTTCCCGCCCCCGGGGGGAGGATGAACTCCCGGTCGCCGGCGCCATCCTCCAGACGCAGAATGTCGGGCGAGGCGGACCGCAGCCGGAAGACCGCCGGCAACAGGCGAGCCGTGGCATTGGCCACGGAGAAGCTGCCGGACACCCAGTGCTCGGGACCATTGGCGGCGCCTGGCTCGGTCGATGGGCTGGGCGCCTGCACCGTGCCCAGGTCCACGGAGGAGGGCGAGACACTGAGGGTCACCGAGCCGAAGATCACACGGAAGCGAACGGTTTCCGAGCGCATCGGCCGACCGGCACTGGACGGGGGTTGGATGCGGGCAGTCGGACAAGCGGATAAGCGGTGAAAGCCGACAAGCGGAAAAGCGAACAGGGAGAGCCGAGACAAGGAGCGAGGACAGACGGACAGACAGACGGACAGACAGACGGACAGACAGACGGACAGACAGACGGACAGACAGACGGACAAACAGACAGACAGACGGACAGACGGACGGACGGACAGACAGACAGATAGACAGAAAGACGGACAGACAGACAGACAAACAGAGAGACACACAGAGGGAGGCGGGGAGAGGGGAGAAAACAAATCGGGCATACGATGTCATGGTCAGCGATAGGCAGTCCAGCGGCGGCGACATACGACAAGACCAGGCAGCAGGAGGCAGGAAGAGGGAAACGAGGGGGGAGAGGGAGGCACAGAAGGGGGGAGCAAAGGGGAAGAGGGCCATACGCGTATTGGAGGTCGTCTGCAAAAACCAGGAAGTTCAGCCCGCCGACCAGTTCGCGAGGCTGCTGCCCCTGACGCGGGCGCAAGCACACATACAGCGTCACCTGTCGTCGGAAAGAAGAAGAAGAAGAAGAAGAAGAAGAAGAAGAAGGAAAATGAGCAGGACACGGGGCCCAGGAGGATGCAGCGGGACCACCACGGCAGAGGCGCGTCAGATGCAAGAAGTCAAGCAGGGAAGGCGGGGCGCGAAATGCACGAAGCAGCAAGGGGGAAGCCCGAGGAGGCAGGGGAGCGCACCGTGGCGCCAGGCTCCAGCGACACCCGACGGGCATCTTGCGTCAGGTCCCGGTCCGAGAAGATGAGCACCTGCTTGGTGAGATTCGAGCTGGCCATCAAGAGGACACCGGAATCCAGGTAGGCCCCGCTGACAGTCAGGGGAACAACCAGCATGCCTCCCGGGCCGGCAGTCCCGGCAGAGCCAGGGCTCCCGGCAGCCAGGCCGGCCGGACTCCCCGGCAGGGACCCCTGGCCCGGGCCATCGCCAGCTCGCTTGGAATAGCACACCCCAAAGTCCAGGAAGTACTGTGACGCCGGCCCGGCCGGGCCCAGGGAGAAGGGGGCCGCCAGGGTCGGCCGACCGAGGGGGCCACCCTCCCCGGGCACCGGCGATGAGGGGCCATCCAGGGAAAAGCCCAGCAAGGTGGGAGGCTTGAGGTCCAGCCGAACCAGCGTCCGCAGGGATTGGCCCAGCTCCACACAGCGCATGGTCACACGCAGGCAGAGGCGCCCAAAGCGAGGGCCACCCCCGGGCAGGGAGCCCCCCGGCGTGAGGGGCGGGCCCCCGAGGGCGGCCGTCGCCGAGCCGGGCCGGGGCTGGGCGCCAGCCAGCAGCCGGTCCCCGGCATCGCCACCGACATCACCCCCGGGCTCGGTGGCCATGCCGGCCGCACCGGACCCCCCAGCCCCGAGAGAGGGCAGCCCCCGACGAGTGGGCTCGATCACCACCGGAACCATCAGCTGCGAGGTGGAACTGAGGGTGAAACGCCGAGCCGAGAATACCAGCGGCGAGTCGGCCTCCGACAGCTCCTCCCACATGGGGCGCTCCGCCGGGGGGGCCTCGATCGGGCTGCCGGAAGCCGCGGCATCCGCCTGGGGCAGGTCCCCCGGGGGGAGGCGCCCGCGCGCGTCCAGCCCCAGGGCCGAGGACCCGCCGGGCGAGCGGTCCACCTCGATGGACACCAGCTCGAAGGTCAGCACCGGGGGGATCCCCTGGCAGGTGAGCGGCGGGGCCCCGGGCCCGGGCTGCCCGGGTCCGGGGCCGATGCCGGGCTCGTCGGCCCCTCCGGCCGGGTGGAGCTCCACCTCGCTCGGGCACGAGGCGTCGGAGTCCGGGTCCTCCTCGCTGCCTGACGGCTGGCCGGCCGCCAGGATGGGGCTGTGCTCGCGGCAGAGCCACGGCAGGATGAAGGGAAGCTGCCGCTGGAGACGCTGTCCCAGGGCCACGGACCCCACTTCCAGCAATGCCTGGCCCCGGACAACCGGCACCGCTGGCAGGGTCAGCGGGCAGATGGGCTCCACCAGCGACAGGCGCCGGGCGAAGGAGACCACGCTGCTGGACGAGCCGCCGGGAGAAGGGCTTCCCCGGTGGTCGGCCACATTGGTGAAGTCCACCGGCCGCGGGGGCTTCGAGGGGGTCAGCGGGATGGCCGCCGACGGGCCGTCCTGCAGCAAGGCCAGGCCCAGCACCTGGAGCAGCTGTGTGGGCGAGGATTCCGGCGAGCTGACCGCACTCAGAGTGCCTGATCCCGCGCATGAGCCGAAGGCAACCACAGAGACACCGGCAAATCCGGAGTGTGTGTGTGTGTGTGTGTGTGTGTGTGTGTGTGTGTGTGTGTGTGTGTGTGTGTGTGGATGGGTGGATGGGTGGATGGGTGTGTGTGCGTGTGTGTGCGTGTGCGTGCGCATGTACATGTGTGTGCGTGTGCGTGTGTACGTGTGTGCGTGTGTGAGAGGGCAATAAAAGAGAGAGGGGGGGAGGGAGACAGAGACAAGTGAGAAAGTCGGAAAAAAGCCACCGGAACAGAGGCAAGCCACATGCCGGCCCAGCTGTGCGAAAGATGACCAGCGAGGGCAGGGGAGGGAGAGGACGAGGCCTGACGTACGGAAGAGGGTTACCGCATTGAGGCAAGCCCCGCGGATGGTGTCCACAATGGTCGAAAGAGCCGGGGCGCCGGGGCTAGACACCACCGGGACCGAGGGGGTCACGGCGGAGCCGGCCACCGCCGCGGGCAATGCCACAGCCGTGTCCGCAGGGGCGGCCAAGCCACCGGCCACCGCGCCGCCGACCGTCGGACCGCCCGGCACCGACAGGTCCAATGCGTCGGCCGAGGCCAGGGCATGCAGCTCCGACGTGTCCGGCAGGATGCCCGCCTCTTGGCCATGCTGCGCCAGGGAAATGATGTACGAGGCAATGTCATGGCAGATGATCGACCGGAAGGTCACCAACTTGATGGTGTCGGCGTTGCGATGCTCCTGCACAAACAGCGACCCGACGGCCGGCTCGCGCGATGCCGGATCTCTATGGCCACTCCCCGCCGGCCCGGGCCCGGTGGCACTGCCACCAAGCCCCGGGGTCGGGGCATCCGCCCGGACCGGGATCGCCGACAGGTAGACACTCACAATGGCCGTGGTCTGTGGCTCGATCTGGAAGAGGAGCCCATTTTCCGGCTGCCGGAGGACAAAGGTCCCGGAGGCCGGGGGCGCCGGGGCCACCGGGGCCGTCGACCCCATGCCCAGCCCCGGAGCAGCCCCGGCCAGCCCCGGCCGGCCGACGCCCAGATCCCGCAGTGGGGGAACCTCCTTCGGGCGGTCATCCGCCTCGCGCAGGTGGGCGATCTTCTCCAACAGCTGCTGGACTTTGTCGGTGTTGCCCTTGCGCCGGGCGATCTTCAACTTCTGCTCCATACTTTCGAGCTTTTCGGCGGACTCCTTGCGGTAGGGGCGTGCCGATTCCGGGTCCAGGTGGAAGACCGCGCTCAGGCGCGTGCCCTCGCCGATGCCGAGACACGGGTTGAGGCCCATTTCAAGGATTCTGAAGGAGGATGATCGGGTCAAGGGGGGGCAGGAGGAGAGATAGGCGAGAGAGAGAGAGAGAGAGAGAGGGAGGGAGAGGGAGGGAGAGGGAGGGAGAGAGAGAGAGAGAGAGCGAGACAACGAAGTGACGAAAGCGCGGCAGCATCGTCAGGGAACATATTCGAGAAGGCAAGCGAGGCGGAGGGAAAAGGAGACAGAGAGAGAGACGGGGGGGGGCGGGGGGGGAAGTCGCAAATGACAGCCAAAGGGCTCCCCCCAAAGGGGGGCAGGGGGGAGCGACAGAGCAGGCGGCCAAAGGGGGAGAAAGGGGGACACGCACCGTGGCTGGAGCGAGGTGTTGGTGATATACACTCGCGGCACTCCGGAGCAGGTGGTCCCGATGAGGCAGGGAGGGAACTTCAAGTCCAGCGAAGACACAAAGAAGGAGGTTGCTCGCGGGACCAGGGCCTTGATGATGACGGCCTGCGCATCGCCCGGGTCCATGAGGTTCTCCACGGCCAGCTGCTCGAAGAAGTGCCCGGACAGGGAGGGCGCAAAGACCACCGGGACTTCGCGCGTGCTGTACGGCCGGACCAGGCCGATGAGCCCATCCGGGAGCTGGATGTCCCCGGAGGCCACGGACCCGGACTTGCGCAGCCGGTAGAAGAGCGGCACCGATGAGAGGTTGCGCACTTGGAGCACACGCTCATGCCGGGACTTCTTGTGCACGAAACCGAAGTTAAAGCGCTGGTGCACGACATGCAGGCGCGAAGCGCATGCCTTTGATGGGGGACGATTGCCCGACGCAGCCCAGCAAGAGGAGGGGAGGCAGGGGGGGGGGGGGTCAGAGGCGGCCAGCGCGTAGGGCATAAAGGGGATCAAAAGGGCCGGGCAAGGCCGGGCGGGGGAAAAGGCAGCCCAGGACAGGTCCAGAAGGCCCGGCCATCCGCGTGTACCTTGGCCACGATGTCAATGTGCCGGTCCGGCACCAGGGCCCGCGTGCCATCGACCCCGGCACCAGCCACGGGGCCGGCCTCCGCCAGCAGGCTTGTGTCGAAGGAGCGCACGCGAATCCCGAGCGACGTGGCGAAGGGCGACAGCCGCAACGACTGCGACTGGACATTCAGCACGAGGACCACTTGCACGGCACCGGCCGCCGGGATGACCACATCCCGGTGGACCACCGACACCAGACTCCGGTCAAGGAGGGCGGCGCGGATGGCCTGATGCAGGGACAAGTGCTGCTGGATGTAGCCGCGCTCCTTCTCCGGCTGCGAGAAGAGCGGCAGTCGGCGATGCTCATACTCGAAGAGCACCTCCTCCAGGCTGACCGGAGGACATGGGGGCGTGAGTAACAGGGGGGGGGCGGGGGGGGAGGCGGGACAATGGAAGGGAAAAACGCAACACCCGAGGACACACCTCTGGGCCGAGTCGGCACCATGGCCCACGCCCGCCGGATGTTCGATCGAGGCCACACCGGGTGGCGGCAGCTCGGCCGGGCGGTCCGCCGGCCCCTCGGCCAACGCCGACGGGAGAGACGCATCCACTGGTGGACCCGGTGCCGGGGCGCTTTCCCTGCCCGTGAAGCCAGCTGTGTGGGCCATCGACCCGGAGGATGCCATCCCCGCGGCGGCGCCCGGCTCCACCGGCGAGTGCAGAGGACCCACAGGCGAGGCCGGCGGTGAGGGGATCCCAAGAGTGCCGGTCCCGGGGGTTGATGCCGGTCGATCGGGCCAGGCCCCGGGGCCAGGGGGCCCGACCTCCGGGGCCACCCTCGCCGGAGGGAGTCCAACAATTGAGATATCATAGGGGTCGGACTCGGTGCTGGAATCCATGCGCGCCTGCGCGTCGGCCCCACGGGCACGGGGCTCCAGCAGTAGCAGCCCCCCGCCCAGGGACCGGGGAATGTCCAAGCCCAGTGCATTGAGCAGGCGGAACTGCCCCGGCTGGATGCGCATCGAGCGTCGGACCGGGCCGAGATCCTCGGCATTGCGTTCCACCGGGTCCAGGGGGCTGCTCGGCTCGGTGGCGGTGGGCACCTGGGCGACGGGGCTGTCGACCGGCCCGGGGCCCGGGTTGAAGCGGCAGCCCCGCAGGGCACTGCAGGACATGTGGCCCCCTTGCAGGGAGTCCACATCCAGGAAGGCAAGACCAGCTGCCTGAAGCCGCAGCAGCGGGCATTTGATGCTGGGAGATCGTGACAGCACGAGGGGGGGAGGGGGGGGGGAAAGGGCATGTCAACAGAAGGGTAATCCAGGGGAGAGCAGAAGCCCACAGAGGGAGGGGAGAGAGTGTGAGGGAAAATGGCCTGTCGAGAATGCGGAACAGCCTCACGGCCGTGTCCATAACAGACAGCGAAGGAGAGGGAGCGAAGGAGAGAGGAAGAGAGAAGGAAAAAGACAGACACAAACAGACGCAAATGGATACGCACCTGGTCGGAGAGGAAACCTCACGCAGACGGCCCTCGTCAGCCGGGCCGCCGGGCGGGAAGAACCCAGCCGGAGCCTCGAAAGCCGGCGACCCATTGAGAAGCAGGAAAGCGCTATTCGGCTCACCGGGCAAAGGGGACCCGGCCACCAGGGACCCACCAGCGCCATCGGGCATGCCAGGCGCCTCGTGCTCCTGCTCCTGCTCCTCCTTGGGAGAGGGAGGAGCCAGGGCCGGGGCCTCGGCAAGCGCCTCGACCGGGTCCTCCGGGCCCAATAGGACCCCGGAGCCCGGTAGCACACGCACATAGACGCCCAGCTGGCCAGGGTCACCGGACGCCAGGCGCAGGGTCAGGGGCCGGACCGAGGAGGCATTCTCAATGCGGAAGGATTTGACGGCCGCCGAATTGGCAATGAGGTTGCCGAAGTCGATGGTCGTGCGCATGGGCTCCGGCCCGAGGCCATACAGCCGGTTATGCATCAGCAAGTGCGGCTGGTCCCGATTGTCGGCACGCACGAGGAAGCATTGGTCATTGCCGCGATTCAGCAGGTTCATGATGGTCACCACCTTCCAGTACTCGGGATTGACCTTGCGCGGGAGCAGGGTGATTGGCACGGCCACCGACGAGTGCGCCGGGACCAGGAACGGACGCTCGGTGGCGGTCAGCACCTTGGATGACAGGCTGCTCGGGTGCGCGTGCGCGTGCGCGTGCGCGTGCGCGCGCGGCCAGGCCCCATCGAGGGGCGGGCATCGAAAGCGAACACCGCAGCCCGGGCGAAGAGGAGGCGGGGGCGGGGAGACGCCCAGCATGGCAGGCAAAGCCCCGCGAGAAGGGGCGCCACGGAGGAGGGGGGGGGGGGGGGGGCGGGAGCGGCGGGTCAGTGATCCGAGGCGGCAAGACAAGCCCCCCAGGCAGCGGAGGCAGAGGAGAAAGCCCGGGGTGGGAGGGGATCGGAAGGCCGGCACACGTACCGGAGTTGCAAGCGCACGGGCAGGGCCGTGGGATTGTGCAGGAGAATGGTCCGGCGACTGGAGCAGCCGACATTCGCCACGCCGAAGTCCAGCAGGGGCAGCTGTCGCGGCGTGCCCCCGGGGGCCGGGGCCAGCGGGGTCGGATCCGCCGTCAGGGGCAGACCCAAGAGCCGAACCTCCGGGCGGATGACGCGGCTCGAACAGGCCACAATGACTCGACCGGTGTGAGACCACCCGGAGGCCGGGCCAAGCGAGCCGCCAGGCTCGGGCCCGGCCGGCGAAGCCCCCTCCAAGGGCAGGGGATCGGGCCCCGGCAGCGGGCCCTCGGTCGTGTCCTGCCCCAGGACCCGATAGTGCAAGGACACGAGGAAGGAACAGGACCGGGGCCGGACGGAGCTGCCACCACCCGGGCCAATGCCACTGGGCCCGGCATCCGGGCCGGCCTCGGCGAGGGGGGCCCCCGGCTGGGCCCCGGCCGGCCCGGGCTCGCCGGACGCCGAGGAAGAAATGAACACCAAGTGAATGTCGGCCGTGCTGTGCGGGGCCAGGCGCAGGGTGTCCACGCGGTTCCGGTGCAGGCGTGTCAGCTCGGCCGACAGAAGGAAGGGCTCCAGCATCAGGGCCGAGCGCACGGAGAAGGACAGCCGGCCCAGCCAGTCCCCCGCGGCATCGGGCCCGGCATCAGGCCCAGCACCGACCACCACCGGGGTCAGGTCCTCCGGCCCGGTGGACCCATATGCCGGCAGCAGCACGGCCGACGGGCGCCCGGCCGCCGACAGGAGATCCAGCGATCCGGGGAAGAAGGCGCCCCCGGGGCCGGACTTGGCGGCATGCGGCAGCCCATCGGCCGCCAGGATGCCCGCCTTCCCGGCTGACAGCATGGCCTCCACCGCGGCCACCAGGGATGATCCACTCCCCGGGCGCGGGCCGCCCGGGCGCAAGTCCGGCACAGACACCCGCGGCAGGGGCGGCTCCGACCAGGAGCACACCTGCCCCGACCGGATGGCCATGTCCGGGTCATCGGCCCCCGGGCCGGCCTCGGTCCCGGCGGCCGGCGGCCCGACAAGCGAGGCGGCCGTCGGCACAAGCGAAAACCACACCTGCTCCGGGGCGTCGGACAGCAGGCGCACTTCAATCGGATAGGCGCTGGGGTTGCGGATGTTCAGCCGCCGAATGGCCGGCGTGCCCTCGAGACAGGGACCAAAGCTGAGCACCGACGTTGGCAGCACTTGCAGCGGCTCGTCCAGGGGCCGGTCGCGCGAGGTGGTGTGGATACTTTGACCAGGCAAGGGACCCCCGGGAGGGAGCGGGAAAGGAGCGAGCAAGCCGGGCCAGGGAGGCCGTTGGGGCAGGTGCCCGGAGCTCGAGAGTGAGAAGGGGAAAAGAACGTGCTGCCGAGTGGTGGGGGGGGGAGAAGGAGGACCAAGAAGAGGAAGCAAAGAAAGAGAAGGAAAGAAAGAGAAGGAAAGAAAGAGACAGAGGCACAAAGAGGGAAAGAGAGAGAGAGAGAGAGAGAGAGAGA